GTCGCCATAAACATAATCATCGAGCTGTTACAGCGTTATGAAACCAAGTACAGGATCTATAGGTTCATTCCCAACCCAATGTGCATGGCGATTCCATTCTACCTGGGTTCCTACTTCGCCATTGACATGTGCGTGGGAAGCTTGATCCTTGTCCTGTGGCGGAGGAAGAACAGGCAAAAGGCCGATGACTTTGGGCCAGCTGTGGCGTCGGGACTCATCTGCGGTGATTCATTGTGGGGCGTTCCGGCTGCTATCCTGGCCATTGCGTCTGTCAAAGCTCCTATCTGCATGAAGTTCCTCTCTGCTTCTGCCAACAACAAAGTTGATTCCCTATTAGGTAGCTAGCTTAATTTGATTACTAGTTAATTAATTTCATGCGACTGTTGTGTGTATATAATATATATGCAGCTGCTAGCTAGCTTGCTGTTTATTTGAACATTATTCCTACCTTTACTTTATAATTTTCGGATTGATGTGGTTGGTAGAAGTTTTTTTAGCTACTTTGGAAAAAGAAGTGGATTTCTGTTAGTTTTATCATTCATCTTATCAGTTTGTTTCTTTTATCCGGATTCTCTCCTCTCTCGTTTTTTCTCCCCTCCTATTTTCTCCTATTTGAACAGTTATAATTAAGTCACGTCAATACTTATTACTAACTTCTTATAGAGATATACAAAGGTGAAAACGAGAGGAGTGAAGAAAAAGATAAGAGATTTGAAGAAGAAAGAATTCTATGCCTGTTTTTTTTTTTAGGTATTTTGTTGTGAGAAATATTGATCCCAAAAAGCTAAAAAGGTTTTGAGAATTCGAAATTGGTCGGTTTTAAACTTTTACATGTACAGCAAAGCAGCCAACGGAATAACGATCGACAGCAAAACTAAGACAACAAAAAAGTGTGAACAGAAATTGTTGGCGGCGGATTGAATTGTTGTCAGATCCTCTAAAATGAATAATTCGGGTTGCCTCCATTAAGGCCTACAATCATTACTTTCACTTTTGATTCTCATTTTTACAATAATCGCAATCACTAATTTTCAACAATTAACAGCCCTACTTAAAATGTTGTACTAACTTGTACAAGGAAAAAAACTTACCTTGACTTGTTCATCATGCACAATTTGATAACACGACAAAAATACATACTAAAAATTAGTGTTCGAGTCAAGTTTAACGAGTAGTATTGATAACAAGTAACTCAATAGAGCCCAGTAAAACAAGTATATGCTTTTTTTAATCATAGTGTAACGAGTGGTGTCATGTTACTATTTAGTTTTACAAAATATGTTCGTGTTTGTATTTTTTCCACATGTTAACATGACAAACTATGCTTGTGTTAATTTGTTACGAAAGCAAGTACTGTCAATATCCAGTTTTTCAAGTTTATCCTTACTCAATGTGTAAGTGGCTCGTAAATTTAGTTTGTTAAGATCATGATTTTAAAATGCCAAAAAAACAACACATATTTATTTCATACGATGGTCAAAAAGTAAAAGAGATGTGTGAAACGTAAAAAATGAATATGTAAATAACGTTATCCTTCTAAATCTATACTAATTGAGGTTTCATCAATTACGAACGTGTGAAAAAGTCTCATAAGACTGTTGGAGTTCTATATGAACTAAAGTTTCAACAACTACGAACTGCCCTCTACAATATCGATTAAGGTTAAAAAAATTTGTTTCATTATACAAGTGCAAGTAAGTACCAAGAGTATGGAGTCATTTCGGATCCAAGTATACATTTTTGGTCCCAATTATTTTGTTCCAGGCCAAAATAAATATTTAAATTTACAAATAAATAAAAATAAAAAACAAGAAAGTGAAAAAGTAACCTAAATACTTAAAAGTTTATAAAACCCTCGACGCCTTCCATCACTCGCTCGTTTGACTCAGTCGCGTGAATCGTATCCAGGGAAACAAGGGCAGCCAAACAAACCCTAAAACAACACCACAGACAAGCCTGCTCGATAGTCGTCGTCATCGGAATATCAGAGCTATGACAGAGACATCGGCGAGACGCGGCGGAGGAATGGGTGACGAGAAGCTGGAGTTCGTAACTTCCGACGGTATTGAGCCCATCATGACCTTCGATCAGATGGGTTTAAGGGATGATCTCCTCCGAGGCGTCTACAACTACGGCTTTGAGAAGCCCTCCGCCATCCAGCAACGAGCCGTCAGGCCCATCATTGAGGGCCGCGACGTCATCGCCCAGGCCCAGTCCGGTACCGGCAAGACCTCCATGATTGCCCTCACCGTCTGCCAGCTCGTCGACACCTCCTCCCGGGAGTACGTCAGCCCTACTTTTGATCTCTAGTGTTTCCTTCTGTTGTTATTCTGTTTGGTTCTTGGGAAAATTTTAATTTGATTTTGTGCATGTATATTTGTATCTATTGTATATAGGGTTCAGGCTTTGATATTGTCTCCGACGAGGGAATTGGCGGCGCAGACGGAGAAGGTGATATTAGCAATTGGGAATTTCATAAATATACAAGCTCATTCTTGCATTGGAGGCAAAAGCGTGGGTGAGGATATCCGAAAGCTCGAGTATGGCGTTCATGTGGTATCTGGAACTCCTGGCAGAGTCTGTGATATGATCAAAAGAAGAACTCTCCGAACTCGAGCCATCAAATTATTAGTTCTTGTCAGTCTCTTGTTCCTATCTTTTCTGTTTTTAACTGTGAATTTTGGATTTTCCCTTTCTAGTTTCATTGATCCCTAGTTTTGATTTTTTTTCGGGACTGGTTCGGTTTTGCAGGATGAATCTGATGAAATGTTGAGCAGAGGATTCAAGGATCAGATTTATGATGTCTACAGATATCTTCCTCCTGAGCTCCAGGTATTTTTTTTTTCTTTCTTTCACATATTTGTATGTGTCACATGTGCTTATGTCGGTCATGTTACGACTATTGTCCAAATAAGTATTTCTTTCTGAAACTGAAATCAATTGTAACTTTGTAACATTGTAGGTTTGCTTGATTTCTGCTACACTTCCTCATGAAATTTTGGAGATGACCAACAAGTTTATGACTGAACCTGTAAGGATCCTTGTTAAACGTGATGAGTTGACGTTGGAGGTACACAATGCTTCTGTTTTGTATTGTTGTACGTATGCTGCCTTTCTGTGCAATGTGAAATATGTAGTAAACTGTGTTTTTGTGATGACAGGGAATCAAGCAATTTTTCGTGGCTGTCGAAAGAGAGGAATGGAAGTTTGATACGCTTTGTGATCTCTATGATACCCTTACGATTACACAAGCTGTTATTTTCTGCAACACCAAGCGAAAGGTAAATACTTCTCTGTGATACTAATAACTCAAAGTTTGATTAGAAAATAGGGGTTTCAAGGCCGTAGTTAGGTTATTGATTCCGTGCGGAAAGTAGAAATATAAAATGGGATCACCTATTAGATGCTTGGGTATAGATTGTATGTTCTCATATGCATTGTATCCTGATTTAGCTATTTTCATTAGTGCCTACTAGTTATACATCGATATTCGATACACACAAGCTTTAGAATTTAATATGTTAGGTGGAATAGAGGCATGCAAGATAGTCTGTTTGCAATGGTTTTCCTTTTTGGCACACTGCCATAACGCCTTCCTTTTCTGGTTGACTAACATTTCATTCCCTGGTGCATGACTGTTGGAATTTTACTGGGTAGGTGGACTGGCTCACCGAAAAGATGAGGAGTAATAACTTTACTGTCTCTGCAATGCATGGAGATATGCCTCAGAAGGAAAGAGATGCTATTATGGCTGAGTTTCGTGGTGGTAATACTCGCGTCCTGATCACAACCGATGTTTGGGCCCGGGGCCTTGATGTTCAGCAGGCAAGTTCTTCTTATCCCAATTGTCCAATCATTAGCTAGAATCTATCATCTCTTGACTTTGACTTTATTTAAAGGTTCGAGTAGTTAAACTAATCAAATATAGTGTGTGATTTGAGATCCTTTTTGCCTGTTCAGTTGGTAGTCAGGATTAAATAAACCTGGTACCCCAATTTAACCAGAAAAATGTTTACGAATTAGAGAAGGATTTGCTGCTTTCTTAAATTCTTACAAAAAGCCTAAACCTTACTTGAAGAAAAAAGTAAAACATCTATTGTCCGTATATTTACTGCACAGTGATCTGGACGCCTGAACCTTAAACTAAAAAGCAGTCCTAGTTGAAGGTTCTATCTAGACAAACAATTTTGAATGGTTTTCAATTATGATCAGTTTTTCTTCAAAAAGTGTAGCTTTTAGTCCCTTCATATAATCCTTAAACTGCTTTTCTTATCGTGATATTTTTTGCTTTCATCAGGTTTCTTTGGTTATCAATTATGATCTCCCAAACAATCGAGAGCTATACATTCATCGAATTGGTCGTTCTGGACGTTTCGGGCGCAAGGTTTGTTTTTCTCCTCGCTCATGAATCAAAATTTTGATTCAGAAAGTACTTTTTAAGATATTCTGTTTGTTTGTTGATTAATATGGAAAATTTGTTTGTCTTTGTAGGGTGTGGCAATAAACTTTGTGAAAAGTGATGATATTAAGATTCTAAGAGACATTGAGCAGTATTACAGTACGCAGATAGACGAAATGCCGATGAATGTTGCGGATTTGATATGAGAGTTGCTTGCCATCCCGTGTGCGAATGATGTGGATTGGTTTTTCTGGCGTCGAATGACTAATGTGTGCAGCTGTCGTGGCTTTATTTTGCGGTGGATTGTACACCAGCACAAGTTGAAATCATGCTTTGTTTACTTGTGCTGTAACGATAATGTTTTAACTTAGGCTGGTGTGACTTGGATTTAAAGCACCAAGTGTGCGGACTGAGTACCTTGATGAGTTGTAGTGTGTTTGGTTTTATCATATTTGGTAGCGAATTCAGGTTTTATGTTTCCCAATGTATTTTGCATCAATGGTTTGATTCACTGAGACAGCTCGAACCACCAGGGAGAATGACAGAATGTCACCGCAAATTCGGTAATCGTATGCCGAGTTTTGGCCCCAAATCGTGAAACTGACTGAAATATAAAGTGTCCATAGGCGAATTTGCGTAATCAAATATTTGTACAAAGGAGGAGAAGGAAAACAAAAGGCAAGCAAAGCAGCTCACTGATAAAAAAAGACGGCCACCTCGTCAACACACAATAAATACACTTTCTCCTAAAGAATCAAATCTACGACTTACGAAAAGAAATAGTCCTGGGCGGGCGGAGCGTGGCTTTTAACTACAAGACGGTGTTAATATGTAGTGCCTTAAGCAGCGAAGTAGCCATTTGTTTTACCAACACTTGGCCCCCCGATCGTTGCCCATCTCGGCGTTCTTCTATTAGATTTTGAAGCTTCTGAGGCAGATCATTCTCCACAATCAATTGCTTTGGCCGCGGGTGGTGCTCATAAACAGCCTGCCTCAGACATATTAACAGTATTAACAATAGGAAGAAGCAAATAGATAGCTTGCAGAATAGTAAAAATTCCCCCCACCTTTATCAGTTTAAGAAGATTTAGACGGGCAATAGCATCCTGATGGTCCAGTCTCGTGATAAGCAGCGGTGTCAAACCATTTACAGCTAATGTTGTATTAATTCGAGATGATTTCCTGCAAAAAGAAAGAAAGCAATCGTTATGTCCACAAAGGAAAAAGAGGAGCTTTGTAAAACATGCTACTTAAAATCATTCAGAAACAAAATCTTCCAGTCAGACACATGACACAAGACGTAATCAATCAATAAGTTTATATGCAGAAGGTTAGAAATACAATAATTAATTTCTAGTAAATAGACTATATATGCAATCACATACGTGATAATTTTCAAAAATGGCTCCAATATGTGCACGAAATACTGTTCTGGACAGCACTGGAAGAATTTCACCAATTTCTGAACTGCATCCTTTTTCAATAATGCTTGTTCCACCTTCCGGTTGTCATTGTCATGAGCTAAGCACACGGCAATCGAGTCCAATGCAGTCACAGACCAAAGTTCATCCTCGAGAAGGCTTAAGTAAACATCCAACCCACCATGAGCCCTTAGTTGCTCCCTCGAATTACGCGATGCATGAGCCATATCACACAGTAAAGGCAACGCACATTGTTTCAAAGGAGAATTAGACTCGATAAAGTGCATTAAGTGTGGAATTATTCCATTCTCAGCTGCTTGTTCCTGTCTTCTCTTGTTAATCTTGCACAGATTGAACAGGGCATTGAGTACCTAGAAAAAACGATGAGAACGACACAGTTATAACTCAGTCATTTTATGTTAAAGAAGTTTCCTTTCTTGTCATCAACATTCTATGTAGAGTTAATATCCATACAGACTAAGATACTCTACATTTAAGGACAGAAGGGGGTCACATGTATTTTTAATTTCAAACAACAAACACAATAAAACGCACGGCTTGCTAGCCAACAATCCATTGTTAACATTAGAAATAGGACAGATTGCCCACCTCATGATGTATTTGAGATACAAGAGCTCCTTCTTTGAGTTCAAGGTTTGGAATCAAATATTTAATTGCTTCTGCCCGCTGAAGATTCTCTAAGCAGTTTGGATCAGTCGACAAATGGTTTACACACTTCAGTATCTGTACAATGACAGAGCACCAACATTATCAAGGTTGCAGTAACATAAATCAATAACATAAATCAACGGAACTTTCTGAAAATACCTTCAAAAGAATAGGGGGCTCCACCCTATTGAACATCTTGAAAAGACGGCTGAGCAAACTTTGGCTACACATGTACGACTTTACAGTAGTATCTGCTTGCGCAAACTCAAGCAGAAGATCAGCCACCTTTTCTAGGTATTCCCTTGCAACATCTGCATTCAATGTTGAAACCATGTGGGAAAGTAAACCTGATGATGTTGCACTGCCTGGTCTAGCATTTAAAACTCCAGAACCAGAAAGTACACCTGATGCTGTCTGAGATGCTATGCCAGAAGTGGAAGCAGCTCCTTTGATAGATGCTACTGTTCCCATCTCTTTATTCATCGTTTTATGTGAAACTCTAGCAGTGGAATCAACATTCCCATTTTCTCTACCACGTTGAGAGACATCTGCAAAATAATGAAGGAATCAATTATACTTAGAAGTAGATAAAATGGGCCCAAGTAAATGCTAAACAACATTATGGAACAAGAAAGCAATTAAAATCAATACTTTGGTATATATCTGCTCAATAGGAGTGGGAGAAAAAATTGTGTTTGATTCATTAGATCCTAACACTAATTTATATTGTTCACGTATTATAAAATTTAAAGATTCCAAATGGCACACTTGTTTACAGGTTATAAACTAAATGATGGATTAGACAAAGACTATTACCAGCAAATTCAGCCATCAGGAAATCTAATTCTCCATTTGTCTTCTTTTCATTAGAAGCATGTAACAGGGGCAATATACTTTCATGTCTCTCCAAACCTGGCAGGTGGCGTACAAACTCGAGCTGACCAGAAAAGTGTCTGGAAGGAGGCTCTTTATCTAACAAGCTAAGAAGGGGTCGAACTTGCTCCTGTTGAGTAGTTACTGTTGTTGAAAACCCATTTGATGTACCTTCCATCATTTTTGGAGGTCTATCTGTGGATGCCCTAGTAGAAGAATTAGCAGGTCGCTGCTGCCTGAGGTCTAGATCCCGAGAGGTAATTGAAGGTTCCTTAGTTGTAATATTTACTACTTTGTCTACTGATGTTGAGTCTGTCAATTTAGAAGGAACTAAAGCTTCCACTACCACATTGCTAGATTGAGCTCTATCAGTATCTTGATGAAGATATCTTGGATCTGATTGATTGGCATCTGATCTTTGAGAGTTTGAAGTTGAAGCACGTGCAGGTTCTGCTGTTCCAGTTGACAAATGAAAATCAATCAATCCATGTCTAACCTTGGAAAGATCATGTTGATCAGTTGTAGAAAGCAGCACGTCACTCTGAGCAAAAATTGGATGACCAGAATCTAATGAACCAGACCGTGGGCGCTGAGCTGAACCTTCTAGTGGAAATCCACCCCCGACAGATATGGAAGCTAGGCGGGTTGCCTCATTCAAGCTATAAAGGGTGTTAATAAGCCTCAGCATTATTCCAGTCTTCGCGGCTATGCGACAAAAATCATTTCTAGGAGTTGATCGTTGAAGCTTAAAGACCTGCCACATCCCGTCAATTGCTAGATGAACCATTTCCCTGGATACAAAAATGTTTAATAAAAATTTGACACAAGTAATCTTAACTATCCATAATAAGCTTGAAAACATAATAACATTTCTTAATCAGTCACAACCAACCCTCACAGCCAAATGGTCTGACTAATTCTAAAAGGGAGTTCAGGGTTCAAACAAGTAAAAATGTCCTCTGCGGCCTAACTTCTATGAGAATAACCCATCCCCAAGAAGAGAGCGAGGCCACAGAAAGTTAGCTAACTTTTAATTAGGTTAACAGTAACAACAGGGAAAAAAACAGAAGCACAAACCTGAATTTTGCATAGTCAGCCTCTAAAAAGCCCACCAAAACAGGTATTCCACGGCAAGCTATGAACATTTGCAACGTTGAAGGGCTGCACAAAAATCCTTGATGTCAACCTCAAACTCTACTTTCCGGTGAACAAGAATATTATGACTAACTACAGAAGGGAGCACAACCTTGATTGACAAAGCTGCTGTAAGAAATAAGCTGCTTCCATACGAATTTCCCGGGAATGATTAGGAAAAGCAAAGCTCATTATCACTGGGATCTGTCATATAAGTTAGCAATAGGAATTAAAGCTGCATAACGAATACCTAACACGAATTTCTTGAGTATAAAACTCAGATAGAGAGAAGAAACAAAGATAAGATGTGTATGCATGTAAAGAAAACTGATTCAATTTTCAGTGATGCCAATAGCCCAGATGCAACTGCAGAATAACAAAACACAAAAACCTGAACGCATTATAACTCACCAGACCCACAAGACAAGCATTTTCCAGGAAATCAGTATTATCTTTGATTATCAGATTTATAATTTGAAGCACAGAACATATAACCTGCAAAAGTGGGAAACAACAATCACATACAGCCATTAGAAAGCTAATTGAAAAGTGGAAACCATCTTTTATAATTCTCATAAACATGACAAGAGAGGTAATAATGGGTCCACATACACGAGTTTTAGGTACTTCAAGCAATTCCACTAGAGGGAGCAAACCATGCTGGGTAACAAAAACAATTTTCTGCTCTGGGACGCTGATGGAAGATAGCAATGAGTTTCTGACAGGCGGAGACAATAACATCTTCTGTTTCATCTGGTCTCAATGACCCGACCAACCGGCTGAACTCAACAGCCTACCAAACAAGAAATAGCAGATATTATTTCCACATAAAAAAATGGCAGACAAATACTTCTATGATTGGTGTGATGTTTCTGTTTTACAATTTGTGCAGCACACACTTTAGGCACCACACTGCACCAATGTCACTCTTTTGACGAGTGATAATAAAGTTACTGTATCTTTCATACATTTTCTTATCCAAAAAAAAAAAAAAAAAGACTCGTAAAACAATCTGCTTCAGAGGTGCAGATTTGTAGTCTTAAATTCTTCAGAGTTGTAGCTAGTTAGACTTTAATGCACTCCATAGAAGAAAAAAAATTATCACACATCCTTAACACATGGGATAAATCATAAAACCACAAAAGAAATGTGAATACCTGTAGGGGAAATAGGTTTTCTCCAGGCATCTTTTCGTCGAAAACCTAATACACAAACAGTAAAATGTGTTAGAGATGACGAGTCAGCAAATTAAACAGAAGGACTCAAAATTTGAAACATACCAAACCACCAATATCAATCACATCATCTTTGAGAACACCCATCATAAGCTGTAACAGGTTGCCACCACTGCTGTTAGCCTGACCCATTTCACTCTCCATTTGTTTTTGGGCAATTGTAGCTCTCAACTTTGTAGCCAGGTCGCTTTTCCCAGCATCATTCCCAGGTGTATTGCCTTGGTTTGACTGTGACATAGATGCAGAGGTTGAAGCCTCAGCTGCCCTATCCTCTGGATGCTTATCCAATGGATGAAACAGATCATCCAAGGAAGCATCTCCTGGAGTATCGCTAAATTTACTGAGTTCATTACCTCCCAACAAAACTGGCATCTTGGCAGCCTTCAAAACGACAGACACAAATCTAGGAGTAAGAAATATGAGAGATTGAAGTTAAAGTAATAACAATCTCTACACAGGACTTCAAAATATGACACCACAATAAATATTACCCAAAAAAGACAACACCAAACTGACAACATGCATAATACGACCAGCTAGTAGTTAGACAAAAATCAACATCAATTACTACAGTCTCACCTTTTGAAAACTGCCATCCAGATTTCTTGTTCCAAAACCGAAAGCTCTATAACCAACACCTTTTCCTCCTTGTTTACCACTTACATTTTTTGTCGTTAATTCAGGAGATCTGACCTCACCATTCACCAGCACTGCATCATGGTTGCTAGCATGTGGTGGCTCGTCAAGCTCAGTTGGCCTCAGAGGCAGCCAATTCCTGAGAAGATATTCTGCCAGAACCATTTTGCAAAGATGACTTTTCATGGATAGCTAATGTGGGAACTTCGTCTGTCAGATCATCTTCTAAATTATCCGTTTTCTCCTCAACCGATTTTACATCTGAAGCAGGGTTATCATCAGATCTTCCCATATCAGGAATCTCAGTTGATAATAATTCTTTCCCAGAGTCCTGAAGTTCAAAAGAGCCAAGTCACTGATAATACAAGAAAACTCCAAAGCTTAGATTAAAAAACTTTGCTACTGAATTAAGCCTATAGTTTGCGTAATGCGAAAAGGCAAAGACTCTCACTGCTTTAATGGTTGAAGCAGCTACTTCAACTTTCTCTGCAGAAGGACTTTCAGCAGAACCCGGATTATCTCCATTGGAAATTTCTGCACCTATTGAAGCTTCTTGTCTGCATAATAACTGGGTATTTTAAAATGAATTACCAAACAACAATCTGAATAAGCTGAAAGCTCTAATAAAAAAACACCTAATGAAAAATACTACAAACGAAGCCAAGACAGCCCCAGCAAAAAACTGCATAGGATGTACTTGATGACACCTACCTTAGAGTTCCACTATGACGAATTGAAGATTGCAAAGCTCGCCGGCAGTTTTGTATCCAAGGGTGAGAAAGCAATGTCTTTGCATCAGGGCGGTGCCTAGCATCCTAAGATATGCAACAAAAATGTTATGGATGAATATAATTAAGTTACAACTAACCCACTTTTAGTTAAGGAAAAATTCCATCAAGGCTAAGACTTAGTTCTAAATCTAAATTCCATGAAACTTGACCATCTATCCGTGGACTTAAATACTCTTCATTAGAATGGAGTAAGTAAGTAAAAATATCTCTGCCTCACCTTCTTAAAGCACTGACCCAGAAAATCAGTAATGTCCGGGGATAGGCTGTCAGGTATGGGAGGATGCTCATCCTGAAAGAATTGAAGGCAAAGGGAAAAGAAAAAAGAACAAAACTGTCAACGCTAGTACTCAATGTTAAGAAAATTAGCATTATAGGGAACTGTTTGCATACAACAAGCCTAAAGGGAAGGAGGCAAGAAAACAGCTTCAAACTGCAAGCTGACACAATTTTGAAAATGACCACTTCAAAATCAGCAGTACATGCATCTTTGCGCTTCCCAACCACACCCCCCCCCCCCCCCCCCCCCCCCCCCCCCCCAAAAAAAAAATGACCATGCCAAACAAATGGAGCAAATTAGGGAATAAATGAAAGTTAAACACACCTGAACAATACGAAACAGTGCTGGCATAGGCTGTAGATCATAGTAAGGAGGTACGCATGTAAGAAGTTCAATAACAGTGCACCCAACACTCCAAATGTCCGAAGCAGCACAAACTCCCGACATTTCAATCACCTAAAACATATATAATTTCCATCAAATTAAGGCCTCTCGTTAGCATTTTCATTACTGAATCAAAAGCATGATTTTTTTTCAGCACAAATTCAGCACGTCATGCAAAAAACGATTTCATTTGACTGCTTACATTTGTGCCTTGGCATGCATGATCAAGCTAGTTTAACAAAACAAATACTGAGTTCCTCTTGCTCCCATATACTAAAGGCAGACTTTCTTTTCTTTATAATAATAATTATATTAATAATAATTATTATTAATTAATTAGCATAATAAATAGCAACTATAAAATACCTCTGAGGCCAGGTGTGACGGTATTAGAGTCGGCTGAGGGAGAATGCCATGTTTCAAAAAAAAAGTTATTGCAGGGAATAACAGTAAGATTGGTGGTTGTTTGGAGTGTATGGGCCTAATAAAGCTAGAGAAAAGGGTGCTCTTTTGGGAGGATTTAGCTGGATTACTTGGATTATGTGGTTCCAGGAGGTGCACGCATGTGGAAATTTCCATATGGAGGATGAATTGCCTATACAAGTATATTTCTTCTCAACAACCTAAAAAGGAATGGGGAAAAAGGAAAGGAAAATAAGAATACCTCTGGGGCCATCCAGTATGGCGTTCCAACAACTGAATGTGTATTAACATCCGCCTCAGTCAGTTTTGTCGCAACACCAAAATCAGCAAGTTTCACAAGCCCCTGAAAGGGATGACCCATACAGATCAAGCAATACAATAAGTTATTACTAAATGGAAAAGGTACACAAGCAACAGATTGTAGACCAATATCTTTGCACGCTTGAAATCCCAATCGAACAAATACTTCACAAGAAGGTGATGGTAACTATCAAAGTAAACTCATCTAGAAAAGATGAGAAATACACATGTAAGTCACCTCTTTAGTTGTCAATATATTTGCACCCTTGATATCCCGATGGATTACTCCCTGCTCATGTAAATATACCAACCCTTCCAGAACCTGTATCATAAGTTTATAACAAATATCAAGTTAAAATATCTAACTTGCACGCACCTACACATACAAATAACGAACAGCAAGGACATTATGGAACCTGAGCAATGTACACGGCTACCAATGATTCTGGGAAAGGTCCAAATTTGTTTGGCTTGATAATGTTTGCAAGTGAGCCATTCTCCACATATCTACAAGTATAGCAATAAAAACATCACAAAGTTTTCTCAACAGAGTTTCCACATGAAATATTGGGGAAAATTGCGAGCTCACTTACTCCAGGATTATGTGAAGATGAGTCTTTGTCTTTAAGGATCCAAGGTACTTCACAATGTTTTTGTGATTTAAATTCTGCAAAAGTGAATTTAATTCCCTAAGCATTGTACTCAGCATGCATCTCATTCCAAAGGCATCCCGAATGTCTAGTGTTAATAGGTTAGCAAAGGGCAACTCAGCAACAGCATTTCAGAAGAAATGCATCAAAACCACTGTATACAGCGGATCGTGTTGGCCGGGCCCAAAATTTCAATCAGCTTTCATTAATACTTTAATCAACAATACAAACATATATAAGACCTGCCAAAAACTATAACTGACTCCTATCATTTAACAGAATTCTGACAGAAGGATAAATGTGCAAAATATGAAGGACCGCTATAGGCTACAGTCGCAGGTACATGAAAATCAACCCATTTCAAAGGGTCCTCATTTAAACCCCAGAAAGTTGATCTGCAACAGGTGCTAACATACAATAACGGGACACGATTTATGGTAAAAGATTTCAGCTTAAGGTAAATAATTGACATCAGAAAAACAAAGATGACAACAAAGAAATAAAACATACCTTGAGTAAATCAATCTCTTGCTAAAATGTCACCACATTGTACGACCAGAGAAGCAATCAAAAGAAAAACAGCAGCCAGTGAGCCAAATTAATGTAGTGTAAACTGGAAACAACTTATGCAGGAGAGATGGTATGCTTGAGTAACATAAATATAAATCATAATTTTGACTTTTACGACACATAGCCGAATTTGCAAAATCATATAAATTTAAATCCTCTGAAACAAATGGCCTTCAAGCCCAGCCATACCTACATGAACACGCATATATACATATATTCACATTTAATTGACAAAGACTAAAAACATGTGCTATTTCAATTCTATTTCCTTCATGGTTATTTGTAAGAACATGTAACAACTGCTAGACAAAGGAAAGCTGGTCCAACCATTATAATGTTGAGATCCTCCTGAGCAATATTCTCCAAAGAAACTTGTTTAATTGCGACAAAGTCTCCATTCTCCAAATCCAAACCCTTGTAAACTCGACCATATGCTCCCTTTCCAATCTCATCTCCAAGCATCTACACCAAAAATATTCACATAATTCAAAATACGAATAAAACGAAAGATTTGTTGGATATCCTAACACCATATCTAGACGTTGATGAATTTATCTTAATTTTTTTCGAAAGAGGACTTGTTGAAGATATTTTCTGCCAGTGCCAGACTAAGAATTAGAGCAATAAAGCATTAGTTTCTCAGAAGCCAAATGGAGGAGAGTGTCAGTGAAAACCAACAAACCATGAAGCTGAAAATGACAAAATTAGTAACCTCTAAACAGTTCAACGCAAACGCTCAGTTAGGAAAATGCAGGGAACGAAATACAGACACTATCGAAAAACAAAAACCCTAACCCTCAATTTATTTACCAATTGCAGAGAAGAAACTGTCGACATTCTAATTCCAAACACAAATTACACATTACTACGGAAGAAACTGTGAACTGGAAATTGAGCTATCTATGAATTTGCTTACGTATTTGTTATCGAGAGTCTTGGATTTGTGGAAGTGGGCCGACGCCGCTTGCCGAGACATCTCTGCGGAATCGGCTTACCGATGAGAAACCCTAGAGAAGATGGTGGTTCATCAGAACAAGTAGAGCTACAGAGAGGGACAGAATTGGATTTGGAATTATGATCGGACAGCTTGCCGGAATTCTAGGAAGGGAGGACGGAGCAGAGCTCCGACTTGTACGGAGAGAGAATGTACGGAGGGAGAGGGAGGGTGTTACTACGGAACTGAATGTTTACTAGGATGGAGGTGGTGGTAACATGACATGATCATCATAGAAACTATCATAACAAAATAAATATAAATAAATAAAATGGTAATTGAAGGAGTAAGAGCAGAGCACTCCTCTTCCTTTGCTGGACCTCAAAGGCTCCAACTCAGCAATGATAGACGGGCAGTGGACTCCAGCGGGGAAACTTCTGTCGATTAACGACTTTAAAAAGAGAAGGGTCAAATGGGAGGGGAATGTTCTCTTATTTTGTTGCAACCAATTTCCCCAACTTTTCTAAAAACCACCTCTATTATAAATATTTGGAATCGCTTGTATAAGAAAGCACTTCTATTCAGAAACCTTATATTTAAAGTGCTTTCATGAAAAAACGATAACATTTTTTATTGGAAATTCGAGTGTTTAGGGGGCAAGTGCTTCTCTAAAATACTTTTAACTTAAACCAATTACAATCGTTTTTTTGTAGTAAAAAACATTTTAGCCTTTTGAGATTTTATTAAAAATCACAGCAAGTACTTATTCGAAAAGTACTCTTAAATTTTTCTGTTAAACATAGTTGAACGCTTTTGTTTGTATTGTTGACATTCTCGAAATAATCCCGAGCGGGCATTCTAAAGCGCTTTCGTTTTGAGGTATAAAGAAAGGCCTTGCATACTTTTGCATAGCCTTTTGACTAGGGAACCGTATACGGTATTTGTCCTACTATTTTTTCCCTTTTGGTCAAAGGTAAAAGTCACCTAATTTGATACTCTTGTCAATTGCAGATACGAAAAAGCATTCCTTCAACCAAAAGACCAAAATCCTTACATTAAGGAAACCTCAAATCTCATTAATGTAGGTCAATGATGGGAGAGATGGACACACAACAAACGAACGTGAGATCTTAAGTTCAACGGTGCGTATCTCTCCCCTGACATAAACATGCCACATGAGGAGAGAGAGACGCACAAGAAATACAGCCGTTGTACATAACTTTTTAGCCTCTTTCCTGAAACTAAATGGGACAGACAGGTCAGATTCATGCAACACAACATAACTTTTAAAACATTATCATGTTATGACAAGTCTTTCTCTTTCTCATTCAACGCCTAGCTATGTAATTGATTAGTATATAATTGCGCTTCTCATCACTTCTAAATTTAATTGCAGTTCTTGTAGTATCTATCCAATTCTTCCAATTTTCTGTGGAGCTTCGTGTCATCCTTCATCTCAATTTCATCTGTGCAAAACTCGTTGCAAGGTCTATCGCCTCATTCAGACGAGATGCATCTGTTCCCTGATATCGTCAATTCAATGGAAAATTTGAGAAAAAAGGTAAGAAATAAAACCAACTTAAATCTTAAGCACAAAATGTTATATGATTTGCACAAACATAAACCATATTCAGATTCTGGACAAGGAAAAAAATTGGAGAAAGTGGTCGAGACATAAGTCGATAAACACTAACCTGGCCAGTAGCAAGGCCACCTTTTCCTTTTCCGCATCTTCCATTCAAAGGACCCATGGCTGCTGTCAACCACTCTGAGACCTCCAACTGAGTGCCCTTGTCCCCTGGTACGCCAGCACACACCAAAGCTTTATTTGTGGTCTCATCTGTGCTGAAAACCATGGCGGGCATTCCCTGTTCATGTATCATCATGATTTCAAGTTATTTTCCTCAAATTCACAAGAAAATTGACAATTGATCAACATCATAGCGAATAACAATCAAAGTATTTCATGACGATGACTACTATTCAAGCATAGTTCAATTCATGCCATGGTGATGGGTTTCTACGTTATGTTATGACACCTATCGGATCGCATAGAGGCCAAAGAGAAAGTGAATTGTGCTACTGACCATCCCAGTGATCTTCAAAACAGCTTCACGAACTGCGGCTGTATCCAAACCAACATCAACTTGGGAAACACAGTAAGCTTTCCCATCTGAAGCAGCAACTTCAGCCATCTCAGTTGCAACCTTTACAGCATTCTTTATATTTTGCTCTGCAATCATCTTCTGTGCTTTCCTCAATTGGGTCTGTTGGATGGAGCAAGAATTATTACACTAAAGTACAAGTATATAAAATATTAAATAAGTAAAAAAAACAAAATCCTAAGCGTTGTCCTGCCTAACTGAAATACCTGAAGTACAGCCATCTTGGCCCTGATTTCAGCTTTCTTAGCAGCTGGAATTGGTGCTGAGTCCACGCGAGATTTTAGGGAAGCTACTTTCTGTTAAATGAAAAACAAAAACAGATACATGTTATAAAAAAAATTAGTTACAAATAAAAGATCTGGTGAACACTCTATCCAGTCAACCTTTACTTGCATAAGCATAACATCATTAGTTTATAGAAATAGTTGAATCGTCATTTCTGAATCCGAAAAATGAGGATTCTGGGGTAAGATCAAGAGAAACAACCTTCTCCAGCAAGCTTCCTTCAGCCTTGGACGCTTCATGTACGTCTTGCTCAAGCGACCGAGCCAATTCAATTGCCTGAAACGCACCTTCACTTGTGACAGCAGTTATTCTCCGTATTCCCTTAGCAATTCCCTCCTCAGATAAAAGAGCAAAGGCCTTTGCTTCCCGTGTATTTATTATATGTGTCCCTAGATGTATGAAAAAGATAAAGGTCAGCTTAAAAGAAGGAAATTCCCCAACAACACATCAGTAGGAGATGACATTAACCTCCACAAAGTTCTGCTGAAATTGATAACCATTCCTCATTTTCGGGGTAATCCAAAAGATCCTCAACCTTCCGCCCAATAGCCACCACTCTTACTGGGTCAGGATATACCTACACCAAAAGCAAAAATATACGTATCACGCAACACAAAAATATAGCCATTGAGAAGACTAACTAATTATGTTAACATTCAGAAAACTACCTCTCCAAATACAGCCCTTAAACCATTGATGCGCTTGGCATCAACCAGGGCTACCTCTTTAGCATATACACCTAATTCAGCTCTGATTTGCTCATTCACAATTGACTCTATTCTTCTCAAACTGTCAGGATCTACCGGCTTGCCTGTTCAAGTTCCACTAGCAGTTTTAAGAAATTCAATAGACACAGATCACCCAATCCTCTTAACTTAATGCACTAACTTGAAAAGCTTTACCATGTGAAAAATCAAATCTCAATTTCTCAGCAAGAACAATAGAACCCTTCTGGTCGACATGATTTCCAAGAACTTCCTGCATTAGAAATGCTGAATGTCATCAACTACATGTACAAAACAGTTAAGAAAATAACAATTAAAAAACTGATAGCAGGTTTTGGGTTGTTGGCATTTGAACATACCCTCAGAGCAAAATTCAACATGTGCGTGCATGTATGGTTGGGGGCAATGAGTTTACGCCTATTGTAATCAACCTGTACCAAAGAACCCAGTAGGAGTTTAAACAAAAAGAAACATAGATCGAGTCACAGATGCATAACTCTAAGCAAATAATAAAAGGAAGAATCACCTTGCAATTTACTTTGTCACCGACTAAGAGTTTGCCACTCTCTCCAGAAAAAGAACCAATGTGGACAACAAAACCTCCATAAATTTGAACATTGCAAACTTGAAACGAGAAAGAGGATCCTTCAAGTGATCCAGTATCAAAAATCTACAAGCACATCAAATTAAACCAGATGCACAAAATGATTAATGAGAATCAAAACTATCTCAATCAATGTGATCCAATACAGTATAACCTAGTTCACACATAGTGCTTCCGATCAAGAAGAATATAATATGTAAGCTATAGAATGAAAACAAAAAGTAAAACCGGAGGACCCTACAAATCTTGAATTACTCCTCATTCTCAAAGTGAGTCCAAATTTGCATCCATGTACATCATGTTTCCTTGTATTATGATTTATGAAGCTGCTGGGGATGTGCATGCACGTCACTAGAGGCCAACAAATTCTAATTTGATTATTTTTCGATCATTAGCAATAAGAGGATTGATTTCCAGTTTCCATAATTGCAGCTAATATTTTGTTTTCGTAAGAGATCTGAAACGTTTGTTTAAGAGAGAGAGAGAGAGAGATCTTGTGCATTGAAGTAACATCCTAGTAACTAGTAAGTTTAGTAGACTATATTATACCAACAATTCAATCATGGAAGTAACATCAAAAGAATTTTAATAGTACATGATGGGTCAAAGTAACCAAACTATATAATACCTGACCACCTTGCTCAGCATAAAAATTTGTAGACTCCAAAACTATACCAACTTCATTGCCAGCAGAAGCACTATTAATAAACTCAGAACCAGTGTAAATTGCTTTTACCACGCTTTCATGGTCCTATATTGGTAGAGGAATAAAAAAGCAATAATCAACAACAAATTCATTTATCCCTTGTAAAGAATGATAAAGCCTCAACTCTTGGAAACACTTTTTTAATAAGAACACTCTTGGAAACAATTTTGTATATCAAGGAATAAACATTGAATAGCAATCTTTGTATAATTCAGCAAAAACATATAAAACATGCAAAATGTCAAAAAAGACCTGGTTCCAAATAAATTTAAAGCTGTCATCTGTTGCAGCAACTCCCCTCTTGTGCAATGTAGCAGTAGCATCAGCATCCATGACAATAGCACCACCAGCTTGCTTAAAGAGTTTAAGAAAAAAGGTAACATGAGTGCGCTACCACATGAAATTTCTGATATACCATTTAATCTCTAAGAGAAGATATTCCCACAAACCATTTGTCTACCCCTATAAACCCCTTTTTATTTTGATCTTTCAAATAAATAAATCAAAAGAGAATCAAGAGGCAGAAATAAACAGGGGAGTGCAGAAAGAGAAAGGGTGCACAAGATAAATTTTATCATGTCACTTAGTTCCCGAAATCTAAAATTTTTCTTTTTAAACAACCAGCGTCATATGAAGAGAAAAAGGTTGGCCAACATATGAAGTTGACACTAGAATATGGATGAGAAAAAGTGGGAAAATGTCAGAAGATAAAGTACCTTATTTTGAGCACTCCTTGATCTTTCTCGAGCCTCATCCATAGCATTATTGAAACCCTCAACATCAACTATCAATCCCCTTTCCTCTGCCATCAACTGTAGGAAGAAAGTATAAGTAAGCAAGTCATGTACAAATAAATATCAAAGAGGACAATAGATCTCAAGTACCTGAGTCAAATCTAATGGAAACCCAAATGTGTCCCACAAAACAAAAGCATCCTGCAGTCACAATAGGAACAAAGTAAGCCATAGTAATCAGTAAGGAAAAAATTATAATCTTCAAACATGAGCACTCTCCCTAGTCTGCTACCCATAGATAATGGAAATGGTCCAGTTCAACAAAGAATTATTTAAGTTGGTGTATCCACACTTCTGTAAAGAAGCATCACAACTCATCCACACTTATTCTAGCTAATTGTTTTCTTTATGAGAAAAGTTAATTAGCTAATTGTCAAGATCATGTTCCAACAAACTCGAGCAGCATCTGTGATCAACTTAAATTCAAGTCAGGTGAAACTAAGCAAAGTACATGCACTGGATACCGGGTATCAAGAGTGCCCTTTCTGAACATGGATATCAGAGTTTCTACTTATGATGCACAGAGAAATATTTGTGTGGGATTTGGTTTTGTCGACACATCCTTTGTTAAATCAGTTTTCGACCAATTAGATATTACATAAGACTGCATTTTCAGAAGCTTTAGAAGAAGAAGCATTGCAGTAGGGTTAAATGAAAAGTTGGAACAAGGAAAAGCTTATCCCTCTCTTTTGTGAGAATAATACTCACAGCAATGACACATATGACACCAGTAGAAAATAAGTGAAAGAGTACAACAAAATTCAGAAAATAATAACCTGCCCACTAAATGTTTTCCCTTGAACATCCTGAGCAGCCTTCTTGAATCTTTCTATTCCCTGAAAACAAATCAATCATCAAATCAACTTAGTTGCACATAACATCCGCTCCCTCCAACAAAATCATAAATGTCTCTACAACTCAGTGTGTACATATAATGAAAAAGAATAAAATGTCTCATGAATAGGAAATTCATTTTAATGCAATCAAAAGAACCACAAAAATATTAAACTTTGCAACAAAGGAAACGAAATGCCTATACAAAACTTCAAAATGTACATTCATACCTTCTGTAAAGTCTTCTCAAAAGTTTCTTCCTCCTCTTTGATTATCTCCCTGATATGTGCTTCATGTTGTTGTAGCTCTGGGAAAACATCACCCATCAGTGTCACCAGAATGTGCACAAGCCTGGATTCCACAAAGTATCATATCAACACTCCATATAATTACAATCAGAAACATTACAAATCACAAATTGCAGTATGTCTGTCGTTATTACCCATTGAAAAATCCTTCTTTAGCTTTTAGGACATCATTTCCATACCGAACAGCGCGACGAAGAATGCGCCTCAGAACATATTCACGGCCGTCATTGCCTAACATAAGTAGAACCTCGTAAGGTACACTTTAAATTACTCCACAAAAAGGTTAAGAAAGAATTAAACAACTTAAAAACATTTATATCTTAATGTAAGATGTAGCTAATAAGAATGATGTGAAAGTCGTTGGGACCCTTAAATAGACACTATCAATACCAACCCCCGCGCAGCCCCGGGGGAAGGGGGGGTGGTGGTGATAAAAAGTTTTCTATAAAAATATGACACGTATCATTATCTTAAAGTATTTTCTCACTTACTAGAAATCTGGTTAGTCACCATCTAGATTAAAAAGAATATACCCTTTCCAACTAGTTTAAAAGCCACAGGACATAAGCCTTCAGCATAAACTATAACACCCCTGATGAATAAAGACCCAAAAGGCAATGAGCAAATTAATGAATAAGTAGACCAACCACAACCAATAACTCACAACCCTGTCCCATAAACGTTCTGTCTCCAGTGGGAAGCAGACACCACTGACCTAAACTTCAGTAAAACAGAATGTAGCGTCTGTTTAATTATTGTCTGCCTACCTGGACGAGACCCATCAGCAATGGAAAATGAAAGAGTTCTTATATGATCTGCAACAACTCTGTATGCCATGTCAATTTTGTCCACATCATCCACACCAACTTTCCCAGAATATGGTGGAGCCCCTGTTGCCTATAAAAATATTGGAGACATGAAAGCAATGTCAATAACAGAATTTGATTCGTTTTCCTTCTTCTTTACTGGGTGTAGGTGTCTCTGTATATACTCTGTAGTTGGGTTTGCACCCCTTCATGGTATTAAAGGCATTGTGCTTTAACAGGACCCTAAAAAAAATTGACATCTCACCTGTTGGATAGCATCAAAGATGGGCATGAACACATCAGTATCATAATTGCTCATCTTGTTCTGAAGTATGGAAGTTAATCTTTCAAATCCCATCCCAGTATCAACATGCTTAGCAGGGAGCGGCTTTAGAGAACCATCACTTTCCCTATTGAACTGTTGGAGTAATCAAGGAACAAATACAGTTCACCAAATTAATTGTCAGAAAAATTAAAAAGAAAGAAAAGAAGTAAAATTATGTGGCACATGGAAGGTTATACCTGATATAAAAGTTATACCTGAATAAAGACGAGGTTCCAAATTTCAATGCAGGTAGGATCATCGTTGTTGACTAATGATGCAGCATCACGATTTCCGATTCTATCGTAATGAATTTCAGTGCATGGACCACAAGGACCAGTATCTCCCATCTCCCAGAAGTTATCCTATTTTGGAGGAGAGAAACAGCAACAAAAATACCAAAAAAACCAAATAGATAAGGCCATTCAACCTGATGAACAATCACTACAAAACTGTTATAAATTAAAGAATAGCACACCTTACAGCCAAACGGTAGTACATGACCAGCTGGTAGAAATTTAAGCCACAACTCTCTAGCTTCATCATCAGGAGCAAGACCAGCCTTCTCATCACCACCAAAATAGGTGGCATAAATTCGATCTTCTGGCAGCTTATAAACCTGCATATAATACGTCAAGGGTCATAGTAAAATTATCAGCGCTAACATAGTCACCGGTAATGAAAAAATTAAAATTGGGTGAAATCTGCTTACTTTTGTGAGAAGCTCCCAAGCCCATCCAATGGCTTCCTTCTTGAAATAATCCCCGAAAGACCAATTGCCAAGCATCTCAAAGAAGGTGTGGTGGTAAGTGTCTTTCCCTACATCATCGAGATCGTTGTGCTTCCCGCCTGCTCTTATACATTTCTGGGTGTTGCATGCTCGAGTCAGCTTGCTCAACTGAGTGTTTGGGTCTGCTGTCCCCAGAAAAATGGGCTTGAACTGGTTCATACCTATCCATCCGAAACATGCATACAATCGAGCTTATCAACAAATATATACTATATTTGGTGAGTGGAAAAACAATCAAAGATTCAATATAAAGGCACAAAACCCTGAAATTAAACGAAACTAAAACACAACACTGGATTGAACTACCCGCATAGATTCTCATGATTGCATAAACAAAAATAATTAACAAATAATGCAGAGTTACTAGAAAAATAAATCAAAGATTCAACAGAACGCAAATGGTTACTATTCGCACAAAACCCTCCCCCTTCAGCGGGGCGTAAATGGAGGTACGGGGACCGTCGAATCAACGAGGTATTTCAGTGCCTCCGTTGTACGACGAATTGCTACCTGTGACTACGCCCTTTTACCCGATTCAGGTTCAACATTCGCACAAAACCCTAAAATATAAGACGGGACTGAACCGCCTGGTTCGTTTTCCGCCACGGTAAAATCCAGTAACAAGTCAACTTCAACAAAAATCAAAATCGGGATTGACGAACCAGCATTGGCGAATAAAAGAGTGGGATCGTTGTGGGGAACGACGGGGCTAGACTTCCAGAAGACGTGAGCCTTCTCCTCGAAAAACTTGACGAAGGTGTCCCTGACGCGCTTCGCTGGCCACTCCAGTCCCTGCGATTCGGCGCCCGGCATGGCGGAGGGAGACGAGGACTTCGCGGAGGATGAGCAGCACCTGTACGCAGCGGCGAGGGGGCGACCGCGAGAGAGGAGTGGCGGCGGCAAATGAGTGGGAGTATAAGAAGTGAAACGAGGGTAAGGTTGTGAAATGAGAAGGGCGCGGAAGGCTATAGCTCCTTTCTCACGAATTCCACTCCTCATTCAGCCCTTTTCCATTGGGTTTAAATTGGTAACGCAACCCTTTTTGTTTTGTGTTGTGGAAATATATGCCTTTTTTTTCTTCTTTTTTTTTTTGTAAAAGTAAAGAATTAGGCTGGTTGGTAAAAATAATCTAGGAACTTTAACGAAAAATTTTCACTACTATTTATTTTAACGAAAAATTATATTTTTACATTAAAAAGTCAGTCATAGTACTGTAGACATCAAAATTTCGGTGAAATGAATGTTGACCAATAATTAAAATTTCAACGCTCACGTGTCACATAAATTTTACATGTAGCGTGTGACTCAACGAAAAATCGAAATAAATTGGAAAAGTCATCAAATATGACACGTGTCAATACCTGGCAGAAATGATTTATTTCATCTGATTATTTAAATCCAAAAATCAAGTTTTGGAATTCTATAAATAGGAAGCCAAGGCATTCATTTTGGGGGGAGGAGAAAAGAGAAGGAAGAAAGAAAAGAGAAGGAAGAAAGAAAGAAAGGAAGAAAGGAAGAAGCCTTGAAACTCTAAAGCTCTCAAGCAAATCCCGAATGATCAAGAAAGCACTCTTCGTTCTTCGTCAAATCCTCCTTCAAGATCAAGCCCCAACGGCCCTTGAAGAACTTCCACCAACTCAAGATCAAGCCCCGACGGCCCTTGAGGAAAGTGTTCATCGTTCATCATCTGTTCATCCTAAGATCAAGCCCCAACGGCCCTTTGGATCAACAACCTCAACAAATCCACACATCCAATCGTTCTTCAAGATTAAGCCCAAAAGCCCTTGAAGATCCGCTCATCCATCAACCTTCAAGATCAAGCCTCGACGGCCCTTGAGGAAAGTGTTCATCATTCATCATCCGTTCATCCTAAGATCAAGCCCCAACAGCCCTTTGGATCAACAACCTCAACAAACTCATACACTCATTCTTCAAGATCAAGCCCAACGCCCCTTGAAGATTCATTCATCATCCGTTCATCCTTAGATCAAGCCCCGACGGCCCTTTGGATCAACAACTCATCCACAAACCTACACCCTACGAAGATAGAATCAGATGATCAAATTACAAAGAGATTGTAACCCCAAAATCATTAATACAAAAATATATTTTGTACACGTATTCTTGTCTCTTGTTTCAGGAATTTTTCGTGTTTACAAATTTGGCACGCCCAGTGGGACATCTCTATCCTCAAATCATCGAAAAACGCAAATGGCATCAAGAAAGGATCAAGCTGTTCCTGCAATCAAAGCAAAGAACAAGAACATCATCACCGCAAGTGGTGATATTTCGGGCATCATAACCCAAAGTAAGGCAAGAGATCTTTTTGCCGCGGCTTCCGCCCCTGCATTAACTCTGTCAAAGGAACAAGAGCACCTGAGGTACGAGCTTGTGATCACCCTAGCCTCGCTAAGGGCATCAAAAGGGGAGAGCCCAAGGAAATACTCAGAGTCCCTACTCTCCGACGCTGATTCGAGCGGCAGTACAACCATGTAAGTCATGACCACTGGAGCAACTTCAATCGAGGAGCAGCTAGCTCAGATGAATGAAGCAATCGCAAAGCTCATACGAACTGTGGAAGAGAAGGACTTGCAGATTGCCGCACTTGTCAACCAACTAGATGCGCTGCCCGACGTGAAAGTCGACCCAAATGTTGGCCTATTAAAGAAAGAAGTCGACGAAGAAGAGGAGCCACTAGCGGAGAAAGTTGAAGAGAAGCCGAAGCTAGACCAAGCAACGACATTCATGGGATCTCTCTCTATCTAGCAGCTACAGGAGATGATCGCAAGCACTATAAAGACACAGTACGAAGGAAGCTCGCATGACTCCGTACTGTACTCAAAGCCTTACTCCAAGAAGATTGATGCTTTGAAGATGCCAAGGGGTTATCAACCCCCAAAATTCACGCAGTTCGATGGAAAAGGCAACCCGAAGCAACATATCGCCCATTTCATTGAAACTTGCAACAATGCTGGGATAGAGGGAGACTACCTCGTCAAACAGTTCGTGCGTTCGCTGAAAAGTAACGCTTTTGACTGGTACACTGACCTCGAACCTGAGTCTATCAACAGTTGGGACCAGCTAGAAAGGGAATTCCTCAACCGTTTCTACAGCACTCGTCGTCCTGTAAGCATGTTAGAGCTGACCAGTACGAAACAGTGGAAAGATGAACCTGTCGTCAACTACATAAATAGATGGCGTTCTTTAAGTCTGGATTGCAAAGATCGGCTTTCTGAAACCTCTGCCATTGAGATGTGCGTTCAAGGCATGCAGTGGGGACTACACTACATCCTTCAAGGCATCAAACCACGAACATTTGAGGAGTTAGCCACCCGCGCCCATGATATGGAGTTAAGCATCACCCGTCATTGGAAGAAATAACAGATCGCCGACTACAAGAATGACAAAGTTTTGGGGCCAAAGGTGGATAAGGCTACGTGGAAACCCACCAAGGAAGCAATGACGATCAACACAACTCCAGTCAAAATCCCTACACGAAGCAAGGCGATTCAAACCGAAGCTTTTCGTAATCAAGAGATACGTAGACGCACTTTGAAGGAGCTTGAGGAGAAGACTTATCCATTCCCCGACTCCGACGTGGTTGCCATATTGAAAGACTTGCTTGACAAAAAGGTGATCGACCTACTAAAGTGCAAACGGCCAGAAGATATGAACCGTACTGACAGTCCAAGGTACTGTAAATTCCACCGCTTCATTAGTCATCCGACGGAAAAGTGCTTTGTGCTAAAAGATCTCATCATGAAGTTGGCTCAGAAAGGGATCATCGAGCTAGATCTTAATGATGTGGTGAAGTCAAACTATACCACCGTCACTTCTGGCTCTTTGAACTCAAAATCTTCACCTCAACCGCTGGGGGCATGCTCCAAAACCATGTCAGTCAAGTCAAGTGAAGTTGAAGGATGGACTTATGTCACTCCAAAGAAAATGCACAAGAAACATAGGTCTCCTCCACAAGTTCACCAATCGGAAAGGGGTAAAGCCACTACCGTCAACCTTCAAAGCTACATGAAAGTGTTGAGGATGATGAAGTTATGACACAAAGATAGTCCGTTGCCATCATGATGCGCGATTTCTTCCCCAAAGACTTCTTCAATCACTCAGTCAAGACTCCTTGCTATAAAGATTGCAAGGAATGCCTCCCTAAGATCGTTTGACAAATTCAAAAAAGCTCCTCGTTCGCACGAGCCTAAAAGGCGACAACCAAATCTCATTGTCCGCACGAGCATAAAAGGCGACAACAAACGCTCCTTGCCTGCATGAGCTAAAAAATGCAAACGGCACCAAACGCTCCTGGCCCGCAAGAGCATAAACTGTGTACGGCAAAATCATCATCAAAACCATCACCCATTTGAACTACGTTATGACTTGATCTCTTCTTTGGAAGAGTACGTAGGCAACTTGAAACTTCAAAACTTCAAGTACAGTCACATCAAAATAAATAAATAAATGTTTCATAAAAGAAAGTCAATTTTATTACAATTTCTTTATTAAAAAAAAAAATTATTACAGTTTCTTCAAAAAAAAAAAAATATATATATATATATATATAAATTCCTTCTCGGCCCAAATAACATCAAAGTGGTGTGATTAAAGTATTGAGGTGAAGAGGGAGGAGTAAACGCAAAGTCACCCCTAATTTCTCAAGCCACTTATTGCCACGGGGTCCAATCCAGCACCATCATCATCGTCAACATCTATCTAATCAGATGACATGGTAAAGTGGAGAACCCTTCCCCCTGAAAACAGGATGACCGTCTATTTCTCCAGATGGTTTTCCGATCTCGATTGGCGCCGGCTGCTCTTACTCCTTCCACCTCATCCCACTCGTCGAGTTCGCCAAACGACTCGTCCACCTTCACAACTTCACCGTCACATTCGTAGTCCCCTGCGACGGCCTTCCTACAAAAGCCCAAAAGTCCGTCCTCGAAGCCCTGCCAAGTCACCATCTTATTCTCTTCTTCTGCTTTACTCTCTTCTCCCTCCCATCAATCGATGGAATCCATGGCCATTTCCCCCAAATCTCGATTCCAACGCAGCCCGGGTCAGTCGGTTCACTTCCCTACTTCTCATCTCTCTCTCTCTCTCTCTCTCTCTCTCTCACCTTCTGGCGGCGCGTTCAGTTCACTCACAGCGGCGCCATGGGATAGTCCTATTCGTTTCCTGAGTCTCCGGCGGAGTACAGTCCAAGAGAAATATCAACGAGCCGCCGTTTCAGCTTCAAACAGGTGGCGATTGTTTCATCCTTGAACGACGAAGACTCCGAGTTTCACGGGGAAGTCACCCAGGGCCGTGACTACACCTCCGATCTTCCCGACGAGTTGTTGGCGAGTATTTTGCACTTCCTCGGTGCCGGAGACCGGAAACGAAGCTCGCTCGTCTGTCACCGGTGGCTGAGAGTCGACGGTCAGAGCCGGCACCGCCTCTCTTTCAGCGCCCAGGCCGGGCTTCTCCCTTTCCTGCCTGCTCTCTTCACTCGCTTCGAATCGGTCACGAAGCTTGCTCTTCGATGCGATCGCAAATCGATCAGCCTTGACGACGACGCTTTGGTCCTGATCTCGATTCGCTGCAGAAACCTCACGCGCCTCAAGCTCCGCTGCTGCCGGGAATGTGCCCTCGGAGCTTGGAAACTGCAAGAACCTGAAGGTCATTGATCTAAGTTTCAACCACTTGAGTGGTCCAATTCCTTCAGAAATTTGGAGCTTGCCGAAGCTCTCTGACTTGGTTATGTGGGCAAACAACCTCACCGACGAAATCCCAGAAGGCATTTGCATCAACGGAGGAAACCTGGAAACTCTGATTCTCAACAACAATCTCATCTCTGGAACCATTCCGTAGTCGATTGTCAACTGCACCAATATTATTTGGGTGTCACTATCTAGCAACCGCCTCAGTGGAGATATCCCGTCTGGAATTGGGAACCTCCATAAGCTTGCTATACTCCAGTTGGGCAACAATTCACTCTCAGGACAGATTCCAGCTGAGCTTGGCAAGTG